TTCCTCCTGGTGATTTTGCACTCGTTTGAATAAAATAAACCATTTTGCACTTTACTTTACTCAGTTTACTGTATGTTGAACTCCTGAAGATTTTTATTTCATTTCGTTTGATGTGTTGTACTCTTGATTCAGTTTTATTTAATACTCCTGATTTCGGTTAACCTATCTTTAAATATCAAACTTTCGTCTCTCGGTTAGTAGTTTATAAAATGATGCATAAGAGCTTAGGACAACAGCATAATTTAAGCAATCAAACAAGAAATTAATAAAAAGTAAGACTGGGTGTTATATAATTTGATCTCTCCATTTAACATGTGATGTATATCATGTAATTTAATTTTTGTTAACACGGTTTAAAATAAATCAACCTTGTCAATTTAGCAAAATATGTAACGAAAAATATTAAAATAATGAGTTAAAAGGATGAGGGAATTTCAATCAACTATATCGTTCTTTCTAAGAAATAACTTAGTATAGAAGCACGTTGAATGAATCAAAACATGAAGAATTAGACATGGATATAGGAATTAATCTCTTCAATTTTTATCGTGAACCCCAATTAACTAAGAATTCACCAATCTTGGATTGTCAATGATCTTTGCATCTGGTCTTAATCTCTTCCCAATATGAAAATTGTGGTGTATTTCGATTGATGTCTAAGACATCTTAGGTAGTGTTCTCTTTGTGTTTCAGTTTTCTATTTTGAGTTTTGAAATCATTTTGAATTATGTGTTTTGAGTGTCCATTTTGAAATTGTTGAAAATGTGTTCTTTTTGTCATTTTGAAAAATTATTTTCAAAAACCCAAAAATGAAAAACGTGTTCTCTTTCAAACTCATTTTCTTCCCGTCTCTCTCTCCCCGCGTCCATCTGTCTTCGTCCATCTCTCTTCCTCCCATCCAAAATTGAAGGTAACGCGAGCAAGGGGGGCACCACTGCCTGGATCGTGAATGATTTCAGTCACCACCCCCTTCAGGTAGCCATTGCGTTCGCCGAAGTCGAGGGAACAGAATCTGGTCGGACCCTTCCGGTGGTGGGTATAAGACTTGAAAACGGATCTTGCTAGTTGTACCCGGATCACATGACCCATTTGCTTGGGTGTGGGCGTGTTGTGTGTGGACGTGAGGGAAAGGGACGACTGGGAAATGGAGGTGAGGGGAAGGTGGCGGTGGCGGTGGATTTGAAAATTGGAGCAGTTTCTGAATTAATTGGTGCAATTGACATGTAACCCATGATTCTATGTGGCTGCTGAAGACACTCTTGGGGCCAATTTGATGATTAAATGTTGTAGGGATGTGGAATTGAAGCAGACAGATTCGGAAAAAATGTTGGTCCGTGGGTGGTTGGTTGTGGCGGTGATTTTTTGGTGTGGCGGTGGCGGTGGAGGTGGAGGTGGTTTCGACGACGGTGGTGGTGGTCAGGGTGATGTTAAGGCGGCGACGGCGACGGTTGGTGGTGTTTTGCAGGCAGCAACAGTGGTGGTTGGGGGTGAAAATAATTGAAAACAACGAAAACAAGTTTTGAAAACTTTGGCCAAGTTATAACTGAAAACACCCAAAATGACAAATTTGTCGTTTTGTGTTTTCTTCATAAATTTTTAACTTGTTTTGCAAAACGCGTTTTTGGTGTTTTGGAAAATCAAAAACAGAAAATGGCTTGAAAACGACAAAGAGAACGGGGCCTTAATGACCACACTCCTCATCTATGTGTATAAATAGAGGATCTCTTGGTTGGAACAAACACAAGTGATTCAAACAGCAAACACAACAGAGAAAAAAGAAATAAAACCCGTTCCTCCTCTTTCATTTTAGCAACCTCTTTTTTTTTTCTGTTCTTACTTTGCTAAATTCTTTGAGAGATAGACACGGCTAGTTTGTAGGCGGTTAACGTAGTGCAGCGTGAACCGACAACCGATTGTATCCTGAAAATCGAACACCGATCAAAACTTCGTGCACCCTGATGGTAAACACGGGCCTTCGGTTCGGTTTGATTTACTTTGATTCTTTAATTTTCCCCAACACCATCAAATCAAAAACTAAATTAGATTCTTCACTCAGGTCTACTGCAAGATTGTTTCGTCAACTTGGTTGTGTAGGAGATCAAGGAAGAATTTGAAGAACGAGAAGTTCTTGGGGAAGATCTACAAGAGATAAACGGTGTAAAAAGTCGGGATTGAAGTTCTTGTGCTCATTCCAGGAGGGCTACTTTACTAAGAAGAGCCAGGATTGGTGTTGGTGTGCACATTCCAGGAGGGCTGGTTCAAACTTCAGACATGAGATCAGAAAGCTTGTGTCATCAACTTGCTGGTAGTCTGTAAGTTTTATAAACAGTCTATTGTGGATCTTTGACTGGCAAAGTGCCGGAGTTTTTCCCACGTTGGGTTTTTCCGTGAACAATTCTGGTGTTGTTTATTTGCTTTCTTTACTGTTTTAATATTACTGCGGTATTCAAAGATAGGAAAATCTAAATTATTTGACTAATCACCTAGATATAATTAACTTGTGACTTATTGCTTGTTAATTAAAGTGTTAATTCTGCATTTACACCTAATCACCCCCCTCTAGGTGTAGTAGGGTCGAATATTACGTTTCTCACTAAATACTCAAGGCTCTGAAATCATTTTCTGCGGTAGTCACTGACTTGGATAGTGGATACAACATAAATAAGTGGTTCTGGACCTTATCCATGCAATAAGACTTAATCTGCGTAATGTTTCTACTTCTTCTTGAGAATGCTTCTTTCAATGAATGCTTTGGTGATCAAGCAATATTTATGGCTTGAGACACACTATGTCGGTCTTTGACACGTCTACTTTGGCACAATATTATAAATCACCAGTACAATTGTTCGAAAGTAAACTCTGGATTTTAATTTCTAATTCACTTCATGATCATTGGCTTCTTCACTTCAAGTCACAGATCTCTAGAGTGATAGTACTATCAGAAGATATTTCACTCGTCCACCAGTTTTTTGAGTTCCGTTATGCACATCATGCTAAAGAAGAAAAGAGTTGGCTGCTCGAAATCCTTTTTCCATCAATTGAAGACATTTCAAGTGCATTAGAACTTTATACAATAATCTTCACTTTCACCAAAAGAGCATCATATTGGCAACCGTGTGTGAAAAAACTTTGTATCTAAACAATAAGACTTACTCTGTGTAATATTTCGTCCACTGTATCAACATACCATCAATAGCATAGGGAAATTGCAAGCAACTTTTTTTCCTTTATATTATAGAAATTATTGGTTTTTTGGTTCATTCTGAGATGCTTGCAAGGGTACAGCAGAATTTTTTTTTTGCTTGCCTGTGTTTTTGATTCATTTTGGAGTTTTATTAGCTTCTAAAGAGCCTCTCATATTATTGTTTTAGATACAAGTTTTTTCACACACAGTTGCCAATATGATGCTCTTTTGGTGAAAGTGAAGATTACTGTACTAATTGATGGGAAAAAGATTTCGAGCAGCCAACTCTTTTCTTCTTTGGCATGATGTGCTTAACGGAACTCAAAAGACTGGTGGACGAGTGAAATATCTTCTGATAGTACTATCACTCTAGAGATCTGTGACTTGAAGTGAAGAAGCCAATGATCATGAAGTGAATTAGAAATTAAAATCCAAAGTTTACTTTCGAACGATTGTACTGGTGATTTATAATATGGTGCCAAAATAGACGTGTCAAAGACCGACACAGTGTGTCTCAAGCCATAAATATTGCTTGATCACCAAAGCATTCATTGAAGGAAACATTCTTAAGAAGAAGTAGAATTATTTTTCGACTTCGTAACTGATAACATTATAATAAGTAGTCTTTCTGAGTGTTTGCTCTCATGCTAATTTAAATTTCTTCTGAACTGCAATCATCCCTAAGGTTTTGAAAGTCCTAGAAGGGTATTTTTTTTTATTGGACAACTGAACGGGGAAACAACTCCTCAGTTTCTTTTGATTGGTACTTTTTACTTAATAATGTGCTCTGATGGAAAATCTTTGATGAAAGGCGATAATGCTCTGGATTTACAGCATAAAAAACTATGATGACATTAGGTTTACACCATATTGGCAGGAAATGAATGTACCAAACGAGTAAATTGTTGAAACCGGTTTAGAATTTATTTAGCCAAAGCAGAGTATGTGGACTGATTTTGAGGTAAAATAAGTTTTCTCCACTCAGGCCATGTGAACACTCATATGTCGGGATACGTAATTATCAGTGTGCTATTGTTTGAGATGAAACCCTATCCTGTCACCTCCAAAAGAACAGTTTCCTTTTTGTTTTTGTATTTATTTTATTTTCTTGTAGAAACTCGGTTGTGAATCAATAGAGCTTACAAATATTTTTGACTGCTACTTCTTTTCAGTTTTAAGTATTCAAAAACTAAAAAGTCGTGGGCCATTTGATCAAGATTAGAAAAGGGTTCCAATAAGCCTCAAAGTAATTGATGTCCATTACAGAATTAGATTGGTTTAGATGCCGGTTTAGATGCTCACTTTTTTATCCATTGCATTATTTGGTTTGTCTTATGTAGCAGTAGTACTGAAAGTTGATTAGAATTAGGACAAATGTTCTAGATTGTTATTCCATAAATTCACCACCTCTGAAACTTGGTTTTTTTGTCTAGTTCTAAGCTATATGTCACACTGCAAAGGTCCAGGTTAACAGCATGAAAACAGATTCGATTAAATAGCAAAGTCTACAGTTTGAACTGAGATTCTTTCCAAATGAATCATTCAGTTTCTTGGACTCCTAATCCTTGCATTCGTATAGTATTATTCTTTCTTCGAATAGAACCTTGGTGTTTACATTTAAGCATATTCAAAATCTTTCACATCAAAATGATGCAAATTAAAACAATCAATAATACATGCGGAGTTCACATCCAAACAGCAAAAATATTATACTCAATGAATTGGTATAACTACAATAATTTCGTAGCAAATGGCAAAGGCTACAAGTATCTCAGTCTCCATCCGCATGATTGGACGAGTTCATTGAGGGTATATACTAATGAATTCTTACATCAGATGGAAAAACTAACGTATCCATTAAGCCGTAGTCAGGGTTGCAGGAGTGGAGGGTTGGTTCAGTCCGCTGAAATTGTTGTAGAAGAACAGCAAAATCTTCCTCTTCTCCCATTGTCAAGCTAGTGTCTGAAAAAAATGAATTTGGCGGGCAGTATTCAGTTGAAGGAAGATCTAATTCAGATGGAAAACCTAACGTATCCATTAAGCCGCAGTCAGGGTTGAAGGAGTTGAAGGTTGGTTCAGTCCGCTGAAATTGTTGTATAAGAACAGCAAAATCTTCCTCTTCTCCCATTGTCATGCTAGTGTCTGAAAAACATGAATTTGGTGGGCTGTATTCAGTTGAAGGAAATTCTAATTCAGAATACAGTCCAGTACTAGAATTATCAACTTGATTCGATGTCAATTCCACTCCAGTACAAAACGAATCATTTTCAGTGGCAGGAAGTTCAACTCCGGTAATAAATTGATCAAACGACAATGAAATTTGTCTAGCCTGCTCAAATCCGTGTATCTCATCAAGCTGACAGTCACGGCAGCAAAGTGGTTCCATGGCTGGATTAGAAAATGCCTCTTGAAATATGGGCAACTGCATCCAAGAAGAATCATCACTGTTATCAATATAGTTCTGTTGAAATTGCTCGCCTTCTGTCATGAGCATACTTTCAGTTACAAACCAAGATGGAGCAGTAGCACAATCAATATAGTTCCATGGCTGCGCCATCTCCAGCTGCTGTTGAAGCTAAGAGAAGGTTTGTTGTGATGACTAAAAGCTGGTTTGTGGAGTTTGTTTTTCTTGTGACAGCATTTGTGCAAATTGTGATAGTGCGTGATTAAGAGGTTGAAACAGCTGAGCAAGTATTTGCAGTAGATTTTCCATCACAGGTCCTTGTTGTGGGTCTGATGGTGCATTATGCTGCATCTGTGGTTGAGGAACGGTAAACTGCCCGCTGAGACCAGGAAGCTGTTGTATTTGTGGAGCCTGACTGTAAGGAGTATGACCAGCATAATACGGCACATGCGAACTTTGTGTTGTGGAGAAAGATGATGCATTCCTTCCAACACCAACCTTACTTCTACGAAAGTATTGTCCTGATTGAAAACCCTGGGTTTAAATTCAACAAGGAAATATGTTTCAGATTTAAAGATGGGATATATAAAAATCAATTCCCCATCCAGCTAAAAAAGATAATTATTCCACATACCAGTTTTGACATAGGTTCAGAAGAAACCACAGGTCCCAAATGCATACCATCAACATTGCTAGGAAAGCCGCCAATATAGCCGTGAAAGTTTTATGCGCACAGCAAAATAAGATTTAAGAAACATCTGAATATAGTGAAAATTAAGCAGTGCAATATGTATATAACATCAGAAGTAGTCTAGGCTCTTACTGGAGTAGAAGAAGACACAATATCCACAGGCAACTGATTTCCAAACCCAAGCATGTCAACATTAGAATGTAAGCCCAGATCTTGTGAATATTTTGGAGGCCATGCATTAGGAGGAATGCCGCCACACAATAGGTTGCCAAGTTGATAGGAGAAAGAATAATCAGGTTTATTAGGTTCTTCAGAAGTATCATATTTAACAAAGGAACACCCTGCAAAAGTAAAAAATGAGTGTCAGGATTTTAACAAGATATCTATCTTCACCTGAGAATAACACATGGATGCAATTATTGTAAAGATCATAATAGTAGTACTTCTGTAGTTACATCATGTGTTCATAGATGCATATTATCAATGAATATAAACACAAACTACACATTTGATCACCACAAGACATCATCTATCTTTCATTTAAGAAGATCCAATGCTATTATTGTACAGCAAAAACAGGTAACAAAAATAGGACAGTAGGAATTTCATTGCCAGGTAATTTATCACGACCACTCACCACCCAGCAAGATCTTGTAGATCCTATGAAGTTGCTGAGTATCCTTAAAGCATAGTGGAATCTAATATTCACACCCTTATCCCGTGAGCATCTTCACTGATTATTAAATTAAATAAACTAAACCTAGAGATCAATAGAGTTCGTTGTCTAGATTAAGAAAAAGGAGATCTATTCACTCATCTACTCCAGAAAACACAATAATTAGACAAAGCACCAAAAGTAAAAATCAATTCAAGCAACAAGCCAAATCTATCCATGAAGGAATATAGAAGTATAAGAATTCCAGAGAGAGCACAGTGAAACGTGACTAAAAAGGGATGGTCCGATCACCATAAAAAAATAATCATGAAAATACCTGATTCGATTTCTTGATCTTTGGACTTGACAATTTTAATCTGTTTCTTGACTTGATCTATTTTGCCCTCAAGCTTTTTCAGAAATTCTTCCAGGTTCAAAGCCCTATTCTTAGCCCCTTTATCACCTCCCAAAACCTGCTTCTTGTTACAACCCCGATCATCATATTGCTGCTTCCGCTTGTTATTAAGAGACCCCTTTCGGTACAAGTTGATCACCTCACGCACATCGCTACGATTCTCAGCCATGTTTCAATCTGCCTGTCGGGGCCTAAGATCACAGCGCAAGCTCTGACATCACACAAAACTGATAGTTCCATTGTTTTCTTCTTTATACATTCTTTTCTCGTCAAGAATGCCTTTTTCTTGGCCCTCGAAACATCATTCTTGAAAGTTTTTGTTTCAGTCCTGGAATGACTGTCCATTCCACCGCCGTCATCCGCCATGATTGTGATCTTTCTCAAATGTGAAGTATATGATACGAGAATAGAAAATTGAAACAGAGAGTAATCAAGATTGAGACGGGAGTAATGTAATTGAAACAGAGAGAAATCAAGATTGAGACGGGTGTAATGTAATTGAAACAGAGAGAAATCAAGATTGAGACGGTAGTAATGTAATTGAGAGAAATCAAGAGACGTTGGGTTCAAATGTAAGGCAGGAGTACAACTGGTTGTGGCGCATTCTAGGGCTTCTTCTTATTAAGAAAAAAAAGAACCGTTGGGAAAGGGAACATTATTGAACAGAGAGTATTGGGTTCAAGTAAGGCGGTAATTACAAATAGTTTATGTAAATTCTTGAGTTTTTAATTGTTGGGTTATTACTCAAATTAAGAATTAAAGCCCCGGTTTGACGATCACTATTTAAAATTTTTTTTATCTACGTACTCATTTTTAACCACACATTTCAATAAAATATTTTGCACGTAAACTCAAATTTTTTAAAATACTTTTTAAATACACATTCTTCTAAAAATCACTATTCAAAATATTGTTTTTCAGTCTCCTTAAATGGAAGCGTACCGTATCAAATTAAGCCCCTCACCCATTCTTCTCTAAAAATTGATTTTTTCTCAAACTTATTTTTAATCACATTCTTCTAATAAAATAATTTTACCCGTAAACATAAAAATATTTTTTTACTTTTAAACCAGGGACGGACCAAAGATTATTGTTTAGCGGGGATGAGATAAAATTACGTACAAATTGTGGGCTAAAATTACGGGGAATTTTTTTTTTTCAATGGATCCGCCCTGTTTTAAACCACGCATTTTTCAAAAGATCAATATTATAAAATTTATTTTTACAAAAATAGTCTCAAATAGTAGAAAAGCTTTGCATATATTTTAGGAATAGAGCCACATAATAGTTTATATACATATG